GGCGGGGGCCCCGAGGGGTAGCAGCCGTAGGGCTGCTGCGCGGGCGCCGGGGCCGGGGTGGGGCCGTAGCCCTGGGTGCCGGGGCTGGGCGCGGGGCGGCTGGGGGGCGCGCCGTACGGGTGTTGCTGAGGAGGCGCCGCGTTGTCGTCCTTGCGGTCCGCCACCTGTGAGAGCAAACAATGGGTAAATATACTGTTTCTCAAGAAGTTACGGAGCGCGAAACATCACAGCTTATGACATTTCAGCAAACCCATGTAATCAGTGCGTCCTTTGTTGGATAATTTGGCCCATTGCAACATGAAATTAGTGAGGCAGTGTGCAAAATTTTTTATCGCGTGAACTGTAAGTCTTGGGGTGCCTGTGAGTACAATTTTCACAACAAACATTTGCTTAAAAAATCATTATTCCATTCTCTAATGTATTTATTTGAACATTTCATTTGAACTTATGAGCCAGTGGAAGATAACCATTTTCCCACCAAGTTTCTTCCATACAAACAAAAATTACTCTGATAATAATTACTATTAGAAGAGTTTGGTCACAGAGTTTTTTCGTCAGACACAATTATTAAAAATTTTATGAAATAAAAACATAGAATCCCATATTTTAAATTTAAAAGTTTATATTATACATTAATCAAACTTTGCCACGTTTTGAGGATGTTAATTTTTCCTGATCTTTACGTCACAATGAATATAAGACAAAATTATATTTAAAAAAAATTACAGGTTACCGACTTTAAAATAAATTATACAATTACAATTAAATACTATACTTAATAACTGTGTCTGTCGAAAGGAACTCTGTGGCTATTAGTAATAAATAGTAACAGTGACAGAACCTTTGGTTCAATCCCTGAGGGAGCACCCACCTGGCTGAGGTAGTGCAGCATCTCGTCCGGGATGACGAGCTTGTTCTCCACCATCTCGCCCTCGGCCATCTCGTCCAGCACCACCTCCTGGTTGGGGTGGAGGGGCGTGGGCGGCAGCAGGGCGGAGGCGGGGCGCGGGGGC